ATGAGATCTGCACCGTCAGATTGCCAGACATGCGGATCACTCGCGTGGCCTCCCGCGTGGTGTTGATTTCAGCGGGGTTGCCACGTGGTGTGCTTTGGTTCGCTGGGGTTACTGACCGGGCTGTCCCACATGACCAAACTTCTATTTTTATGATTTAATCCTATGTTTTTAAATTTTTTTTCAAAAACACCCCCCTAATTTAAAATTTCACCTAGTTTTCCTAAAATTATTTTCAATTTCATCCCTAATTGATTTTTAAAAAAAATTTAATAAAACTTAAAATAAAATAAACTAAATTATTTATTTATAAATTTGTTATAAGTGAAAAATTTATCCAAGACCGATTTTTGGGCCTGAATATTACAACTCTCCTCTCTTTAAGAAAATATTTGGTCTGTCAAATTTGTCACCTTCTCAATTAATCGAATAGTTGGGGGTACTAGGTTCTAAAGTCTTATTCTAATTCCCAAGTGGCTTCTTCCCGAGTATGATTCCGCCATAGGATCTTGATGAAGAAAATTTCTCTGTTGCGAAGTACTCTGTTCTTCCGATCTACAATATCTACTAGTACCTCCTCATATGATAGATCCTCCTTAAGTGAAAAGGGCTCGTGAGACAAGATGTGTGAGGGTCCGAGTTGTACTTGCAGAGTATGGACACATAAAATACATTATAAATTTTGGATAGCTCTAGAAATAGTACTATTTTGTAGGTGGATGTACCAATCTTGTCTAAAATTTTAAACCGTCCAATGAACCGGAGATTTAATTCCCTCCTCATGTCAAACCTACTGATTCTCTTGAAAGGAGTGATCTTAAGAAACACTCGATCGTCTTTCTCAAATTCCAAATCTCTCCTCCAGTTGTCTGCATAACTCTTCTGTCTACTCTGAGCTGTCTGAATGTTCTTCCTGATTTTAACTATTTTGTTGTAGTCTCCTCTACAATATCTAGGCCAAATAATTTTCTATCACCTATCTCTTCCCAATAGATTTACGACCTACAGGTTCAGCCATATAATAGCTCGTACGCGGTCATGCCGATACTTATTTTATAGCTGTTATTGTATATGAACTCTATCAAGGGTAGGTGATCATCCCAATGGTCCCCAAAGTCTAGAACACAAGCTCGAAGTATATCTTTCAGTGTGCGAATTGTTCTCTCTGATTGTCTATTAGTTTGAGAGTGGAATGCGGTGCTGAGAGACAATTTCATTCCCATAACTTGCTAAAAATTAGACTAAAATCGAGAAGTGAACTTGAGACTCCATGTAGCCTGACCATCTCCTGAATATAGATTCTCACTAGCTTGTTTAATGGGTCGGTCATCTTGATAGCTAACAAGTGAGAGGACTTAGTGAGCCGGTCGACAATTACCCAGATAGCATCATGTCGAGCGTACCTTAGGCAATCCTGTCACAAAGTCCATGGTGATATATTTTTATTTCCACTTCAGAATTGGTAATGGCTGAAGTAACCTGCCTGGATGTTGATACTCTGTCTTAGCCTGTTGACATATCAAGCATTTGGAGACAAAATCGGCTATCTCTCTTTTCATCTCGCTCCATAAAAAATGAGGGCACATACTTTGATATATTTTAGTACTTTCGGGATGAATAACGAATTTTGAGCTATGAGTCTCTGTCATGATGTCCCTTTTTAATTCATTGTCATCTATAACACACACTTTGTCCTGAAACCTGAGCAACCCATCGTCAGAGACCCGAAATCCTAGATTTACTCCCTATTCTGCATCATTCTTAAAAGCTGCTAGGGTGAAATCGATCAAGTGGGCTTCCTTTACTCTTTGCATCAATTTGGGTTAGACAATTAAATGGGCTAAGCACGTAACCCTTTTCAGGTCCTGAAGTCATATTTATTGTGGAACCCCTATTACTATGCATTCGAAACCATTAAGTGAGACAACATACCTCTATCTTTTTTACTGAGTGCGTCGGTTACAACATTGCCCTTGTTTGGGTGATACAAAATCTTGCAATCGTAATTCTTGATGAGCTTTATCCAATGCCTTTGATGCATGTTGAGGTCATTTTGAGTGAATATATGCTTCAACCTCTTATGCTCTATATAAATATCAAAAGTTTCCCTATACAAGTAGTGACGCCAGGTTTTAAAGGCGTGGATAAGAGCAGTAAGTTTTAAGTCATAGGAGGGGTAATTCTTCTTATGACTTTTCAACTGCCTGGACCCATAGGTTATGACTTTCCCATGCTGCATCAGAATACAACCCAACCCTAGGTAAGAGGCATTACTATACATTGTGTATTCACCTGTCCGACTCAGTAAAACCAATACGGGTGCAGTAGTCAACCACTTCTTGAGTTCTGTAAATCTCCTTTCGTAATCCTTATTCCACTCAAACTTGACGTTCTTCCTTGTAAGCCGAGTCAATGGAGCGGCTAGGATAGAAAACCCTTTCATAAATCTGCAGTAATATCCTGTCATTCATAGGAAGGTATGGATCTCCTTAACTGAAGTCAATTTTTCCTAACTGAATACTGCCTCCACCTTCTCAGGATTCACTAACACCCTATCCTTTGATATTATGTACCCCATAAAGGTAGTATGCTCAAGTCAAAACCTACACTTGCTTAGTTTTGTATATATCTTTTTTCCTGTGAACTTGTAAAACATGAGTCAGTTGATGAGTGTGTTCGTCTCTGCTCATTGAATAGATCAGTATTTTATAAATGAATATGATAACAAACTAATATAGGAATTGCCTAAAAACTCTGTTCATCATAGTGTCCGTACTTAGTTCTGAAAGTTATTTTGGGAATGTTCTCTGCCCTGATCTTCACCCCTAATGAATAAACCAATTATTCCATATTGGTGTAACAAAGTTAAGATTCAAGCTGTTTGTATTCGAGAAGATTTTGGTGAATTTAAAAATTTAGGGTTTAAAACTGGTGAAGCAATATTTTTTTTTTTTTAAAAAATATAGATTAGATAATTTGTGTGATGATAAAAAGTTATATCAAATACCACATCATCGGACACGTTATATCTTTATAGACAATAACTAACTTGATTATGTCATGTGGCCAACCTAGGTCCACATGACACCTATACTAACCGGTTAATAGTTAGATATTAATTTTTTTTAAAGTACATGAAACGAAGTAACAAAAAAATAATATAGATTAGATCATTTGTGTGATAATAAAAAGTTATATCAAATACCACATCATCGGACACGTTATATCTTTGTAGACAATAACTAACTTGATTATGTCACGTGGCCAACCTAGGTCTACGACACCTATACTAACCGGTTAATAGTTAGATATTAATTTTTATTTAAATTACATGAAACGAAGTAACAAAAAAATAATATATAAATCGAGTTGAATATTTTAAAATAATATAGATACCAAACTAATGTTTTGGCTAATCAATTATATTTTAGCTAGCAATCTTTATTTTTCTCTTTGAAGAACACAACTTATGTTTGAATATAAATAATATACAATTATGATGATAATAATAATAATTTTTTGTATTACCTCTGCATTTTTATTTTTTATTAATAATGATAGCTTGTGTAACGACTTTCCTATGTAATTTTTATTAGTTAACTTGAACTTAATTAATAAAAGAAGTTACTATAAGATGCAATATGATATATAACGGACATGCAGCATAAATTAATTCCTGTATCCAATGAACAGATTAAAAGATATGAATAATCATACTACACGTAGAAAATAGTTAAAAGAGGGTCCACGAAAAGATAGAGAGATGTCTCACATTTATACCCAAAAAGGAAAGGTTGGTCCACATGTAGCAATTGTGGCACACAATTATTAGCTGTAAAACTGGAACAATATATTAATTATATATAATGCTCCCACAGCATTTTAATAAATATATCTATAATAATAATAATAATAATAATATATTTGTATACATATATAAATATATGCATGTGTATGTATATGTTATTTATCTTCACGAAGGAACCAAATTCCCAACAGTGAGATTTGTCTCTTGTCTTTTCCCTTTGTAAATGGTACCTACTAGGTTGTCTTCCATCAATATAATTTAATTAAATGTTTTGAAAACTAAACTTATCCAAATAACATTCTTAGTTAATGATTTTTGTATTTTTTCTTGAACATCCAACATCATCTTCATATTTAGACTTTTTCTTTGGTAAAACTCTAAATTTAACAACTTAGGATAGATTGATTGGTATTGTCAATGCACTTATTTTACACATAAACTACAAGGTGTTAATAAGAATATACATGGGTTGAAAAATTTCTTTCCTCAAGGAATTCAATTTGTAGAAAGATGAATCAGAGCCCATCTCTTTGGGCTTGGGAAGCTACCAAAATTACTCCACGGGCCAATATATATGTATTATATATAAATTATTTCTTTTGAGATTGAGGTATATCTTACCATATTTATTATTTATTAATGAAAAAAGTAGATATGGTCCCAAATGGATGGCGTTTCCAAAATTGACAAAATCTTCAGATGTGTACCGGATTTACATGGTAGTTATTAACTATTGTGTTTAGAATTCTAATATAAATAAGAATTACATAACTTCGAATTTGAATTATAATTATCAATTATTTGCGCTCAAGATGAGTTTATTATTGAAACATTTCAGATACTATCAAAATCAATAGAACCTAAAATTTCTGTTTTAGTTGCATCTAAAATTATTTAAATTAACTATTTCTCTAAAAACACATTTTCTCAAAAGAAATTAAAATTTTATTTTCTCGTGGTCTAACTAATTACGAACTTCCTAAAATAAAATTTGACCAAAAAAATAATAATTCTTTGATCCAAAGATAACCTAAAAGCGAATAATTTTTTTCGTACTTAAATCAATCTCCTTCCTAAATTATTTCAGGACATATTTCTAACAATATACAATGGCAACAATAGAAACCCTGATTTGCTGTAAAGATTAATAATAAGATTACAGAACGGCTGGAACTTGATCTAAATTCCAAAACCATCACCAAATGCTAAACGCAGTGTCCTACATATCCACATTCAAGTGACCCAACAAGTAGGAGAAATTACATACTCACCTCGTCTACTATGCAAAGGAAGAAAACCAGAATACACTCACTTTTCGAGTTCTGTTCAACTAAGATCCAACTGTTCCAGATGTTATATACAG